AAACCCCTTTCCCCATTTTTCTTATGGTTTCTATGCTGGGTATGGGTGTTAGACTACTTTTCACAGGGTGAATGAGGCAAATGCATTACTGATGTAGTTCTCAATCATATTTAGATCTGCCTCTCTAACTGTTTTACTAAATGAAAGGTGGAGATATATCACCGTATAAGTAGAGTTGCACTTACAGTGATCATCAGATTGTCCCATATACAATTTGGCAAGGTCTGGAGAGACAGGAAACCTATGGCAATCCCCTTGATCTGCTAGTGCAATTTCTAATTGAAAGAAAGAAAAATGTTTATTCATTACAATTGATGCCAATCAAACAATGAAATACATAGGAGACGTTGAAATATCAGCTGTATGACTCAGGTGACTTCTAAAGCACTTGAAGCTCCCTGCTGGACTATTGGCAAAAAAATAATGCAACATCAAATCATGTTATTAAAATACCTGTGTTATCAATATTTTGAATCTGTCTCAGTCAGTTAGTGAAGGCAGTTCACAGTAAATACTCTTATTTCTTCTATTAATCCATCTGTGATCCTAATCTCCCTTTCTTTCTTTTTGTTAAATGTCCCTTGGCAAGTCAAGAAAGTGGGTAGGTGTGGGTTCTGCCCTGGCTGCAGACCATGTCAAGTTATAGATGTGAGAATTTAGAGATCCCTGGTATCTAAATGTAGCAAGGTTTCCAGAACGTCTAAGCACAAAACCAGACAAAAATGTCACAGGAGTGTCCACGTTTAATTTTTGGCAAGCTGTTATGACACTGCATTTTTTCTAGTTGCTGCTGAATTTGGCATTCTGCTAAGCAGATGACCTGTATTGTTGAATACTTCCATTGCCTCATGTTTTCTGCTTCCAACTTGAGTGAATGAATTAAAATGGGAGGATAAGGTCTGTATTGTTACTTATGCAGAAAGCTGGGTTAACTCTTTTCTGGCTACCCATGTTTTTATGGAAAGCATCTGAAACTATAGTCACATGAGACATAACAAACTAAGAAGTGGTCCTATACCTTTCAGGCTATAACTGTAGGCTACCCGTTTATGAATAAGCATAAACTTATGGGTAGCAAAAGTCACCAATATTTGAAATGGAACTCTAACAAAAAGAAGTTTTAAAAACAGGTGACACTGTGCCATTTAAACAAGCAATGTTTTGTTCTTTCCCAAACAGCAGTTTTCTTTCCATTACTTCAGCAAAAACATTTAGGCATGTTTAATCTTAGGAAACCTTTCGCAGTGCCTCAAGTACCTGTTTCACTGCTTTGAATAAAGTACTAGGGTTTAAATTTTGCAGAAGTAAATCTCACAGACTCACGGTGAAAAGACTGAAGCATACAAATTATTCTTATTGTCTAGTTTTTTAAAACATGGGGTGAGGAACCTAGAGCCCCCCAGATGTTGTTGAGCCAGCAGTCAGGAACAATGAGAGCTGTTGCTGGGGTATGTGTGTCCCATTTTTAAAAGGATATTGTCTTAGCTGAGTGTCTTAGGTGTGCTTGTTTTTTTCAAAAATAATAATTTTTGTTGTGAAAAGATTGGTTCTCGCTAGAAGTTGCCAGATCAAAATTTCTGTGGTATAGGGATACTTATGGAATGATGATGCTCTGTAGCAAAGCACAGCCATTTGATACATAGGTCTAAAATGTTTCCATACACTAAGATCAACTTCAGAGGCTGTTTTCTCGGTATCGCTTATATCTCATTCTCTGAGGTTGAGGGCAGAAGGCCTTTTCATTTCCAAGAGCTTTGGAAGATCCTACTCTTGAGAGACTTTACTACACTAGGTGGATACTTCAGGCTTTATTTTCTTGGGGTTTTTCTTGGGCTTTTCAATATAATTTAAACTGTTTTTGCCCTCAGTGGGCTTGGGAATTTTTTCTGTATCTGTTGTTGTTTTTTATGTCATATGATTTGGAAGCAATAGCACTGAAGAGCAGGGTATGCATTTTTTAACAGGAGTAAAGTTGTGTCAATGAGTCAGATGTTTGTTTTATCTGTCCTGAATCTTCTAACATTCAGCTTCATGTCTACGAGTTCTAGTGTTATGAGAGAGCCAGAAAAACTTTCCTTTATCCACTTTCTCCATGCCATGCATAATTTTATAGTTTTATTTCATGTCACCTCTTAAATGAATTATTACATAAAATTTACACATATTTTAGGGCACACTTGTATCCACTTGTACCTTCAGAAAGTAACATTGGAAATCCATAAGTTTCAAAGTTAGCTCTTTGAAGCAAACAAACAATACCAAAAGGAAAACCTTGAGAAATCAAAAGTGCAGTTGATACCACAAATCAACAAGAGTTGCTGAGTTGATTCAATACGATATAGTTAAACGGCTAAGGTCTGACTTACTGTATGCCCAGGTTTTAGAACTGACCGTTGATAGTTCTTTTGTTTTGTTTTTTGTTTCCATTTCCCCCTATTTGTTGGTTTGGTGATCATGGAAGCAAATATGATACAGTGCTGAATACCATCTCCTGAAGCAGTCTCAGGAATGTGTGGGACACACTATTTGTGTTACATTCTGAGCCACAGATCTGAGATAGGAGCACTGTTTCCCTAGGTTGGGCTAGAATATTTTGGCTGCTACCATACTTTTAATTGTCTAATTGTGGCGGAAGTCATTGAAGTGGCCATCTCTAATCTTTACCCTAACTACTGACCCACCTAGGAATGTGGCTTTGATATGATTCTCCCAAGTGCTGCAATGACCTATAAAATCAGCAAAGTGAAAGCCAGGCAATAAATGAAACAAAGAATGGACTTTATTTCTTTTTTTGTACAGCCAAGGCATTGTTGTTTGGACAACTCAGTAAAAGAAGATCATGACATGGAAGCAATCAATAGTTCTCTGATAACAGACCATTTCCTTTCTACCGGATTTAGCATTGTCCTTACTTTTGTGCTGCTATTCAAACATTCACAATGACAGTCCAATAAAGAGTTTGGTTTATAGGAAACACTCCTTTTCCAGGTGAACAGTTTGTATCTATGTGTGAGGCAAAAGTTAGCAATTCAGTTTCCCCCTGTGGCTTGACAAATGTTACGAAGTTATCTCTTGTACAAGGCATTATTTAATGTTGCACAAATCTTATTTTTATTTTAGTTAAAGTTTTGAATAGGAAGGGCGTTTTGAATGGACATGTTTTCCAAAATCATTAGTTCTTTAATAACATATGATTTTAATTTCTTAGATTTCTTTCTGAACGCCAACATTTCTTATTAGATTCCCTTTCTATAAATTTGCATAGTTTTTGTGTTGTACTCAATGAACAGTTTCTTCCTTTTTTCAGTTCTGCACTGCAAAAATGAAATTAGCATTGTGCAGTTGAACTCATGACTTGAGTTTTACATTGAAAATGAAAAAGGTAGCCTCACAATAAATATTTATTGATGAGTGGCTATGTATGTTTTAACAGCAGTAGCAATAATACAGTAGTAAGAAATTAATGTTTTTTAAAAATACAATTTCAAATGTTAAATAATTTTTTTTAAAGTTTCACTTGGTTTTGACTTTTTTGGTAGACTTGAATTTTAAGTTATTTCATTTTTATCATGAAACTGAAACCAAGCCAACTCTCCTGATAAAATGGCCTCATAAAGTTGCAATCCTGTACCTACTAACCTGAGAGTAAGCCCCATTGAACTCAGTGGGACTTACCTCTGAGTAGGCATACATAGGATTGCACTGCTAATGTCTGTATTGTCATGTTACATGCATCCTATAGCTCAAGTCCATGCGTTACTTTGCTGAAAATTGAAGAGCAGCATGGCAGTAGCAGTTTGCTGCCATGCAGTGAATTAAATTGCTGTCAGGTTTTATATTTCTTGAGTGTTAAAATGGATAGCTCATTATTGCCTGTTGAATGAGAGAGATGAAAAGTAAAGGGAAGAAAGTAGTTTTTCCAGAATAATTTAATCCCATATGCAGCCCTCGCCAATAACAGAAAATTAATCAAGCAGTGTAAGCCCTAACTGTAATAATATCCCCCGTGCCCTACTTTTAACAGTCTGCATTGGTAGCCGGAATGACAACTAGGACATTTGAAAGCAAAATATTAAGCCATGTATTGCCATTGCTGAATTTATGAACATTTGGCAATTCCTTGGGGCTTTGTGCAGTTGAATTCTGGTAGAGGGCGGAGGTGCATTCGTATTCCTTCAGCCTTCTTTCCAACGATTCTGGAACATTGAGATTGATTCCCCAGATTTATAAACATTACTTGCCATAGAAGCAATTTTGTTGTCAAAATTAATAGGAGCCAAAACTGGAGCGGCTATGACTTACACAGAACACCTGGCACATGGGAGTGACGCCGAGATCCAGCTCTTAATTCCTAGTTAATAAAGTCCTGCATGTTTCAGGGAGAGGTTTTGTGGCAGAGGATATTCATTCATTCCAGTGCTCAGTTCTAAATGACTTATCTCAGCTTTCAACTGTGAAGACCGTGGACTAGTTTGTCTGAATTAGTTTCCTGTCTTAGCCACTGCAATTATCAAATGTAAGCCCCTACGTGCTGGCTAGGGCTTCAGTGTGTGCTCTCCATACCCCCCCCCGCCACATCTATAACTGTATATCATTTCTGGGACCTTTGTGAAGGACTGCCCAGATTTCTGTAAACTGCGAACCAGAATTAAGAGAGGGTGGGGGAGTATGGGAGAAAGTGTGGAGACTGAGACAAGTCTACCAAAATGTAAAGCCAGATAAGTTACAGAAGGTAGGAAGCAGAAGCGGCCCCCACACTCTACTCAGATAAATTGTCCAGTTAGAGAAAATCTGGGGGTGAAGGTGAAAGTGCAACAAAATGGCACTTAAAGGGAAAGCTGCAACTGGCTTAGGGTACCAGCCCCCTGTACTGTACTTAGGAACATAGGAATCTGCCTTATATTGGGTCAGACCATTGGCCTGACTCACCTAGCTTCATCTAGTTCAGTATTGCCTATATTGACTGGTAGTAGCTCTCCAGAATTTTAGCCTCCCAGGCCTGCCTTGAGATACCAGGGATTGAACCTGGGACCTTCTGTAAACAAAGCATAAGCTCTGCCCCTGAGCTATGGCTCTTTCCCTTCATCATCATCATTTTTAATTTGTATACCGTCTTTCTATCTTACAATACTCAAGGCGGTTTACGAGCTGAAGAAACAAAAAATGTACATCTTATAATCTAGTGCAATACAAAAATGTGATAATAAAACATAACTTTAAAATAGGCAACCTCCATCAAAAAAGTAACATTCAACAATCATTAGGTAAAGGTAAAGGGACCCCTGACCATTACGTCCAGTTGTGGCCGACTCTGGGGTTGTGGCGCTCATCTCGCTTTATTGGCCGAGGGAGCCAGCGTACAGCTTCCGGGTCATGTGGCCAGCATGACTAAGCCGCTTCTGGCGAACCAGAGCAGCGCACGGAAACGCCGTTAACCTTCCTGCCAGAGCGGTACCTATTTATCTACTTGCACTTTGATGTGTTTTCGAACTGCTAGGTTGGCAGGAGCAGGGACCGAGCAACAGGAGCTCACCCCGTCACGGGGATTCGAACCACCAACCTTCTGATTGGCAAGTCCTAGGCTCTGCGGTTTAACCCACAGCGCCACCCGCGTCCCTTTCAACAATCATTAGAATATTATAAAGTAATAATATCAACATATAAAAGTTAAACAGAAATCCACTCAACAGTTACAATAATATCTAAATTATAATCAATAAAACAACAGCAAGCCACAGTACATAATACAATACACATTACACATTGAGAAGCAGAGGGTAGAGCAAGGCAGGTGGAAGGAGGCCTTGCCTGATGGAGTCTCTCCCCTCACAGTTCTTCCTCCAGGAACAGCTCCCTTATGAGGACTCCTAGGGCCGGAGGGTGGGGCAAGGCAGGTGGAAGGAGGGAGACCAAGAAGGCAACTTCTTTATTAAACTTGTCATTTTTTTTAATTTACAGCAGTGTTAAAGAGGGAAGCAGTGGAAGCTTGCCCCCCACAAACCCCTAAAACACAGGCAAGTGAAGGGTGCTAAAAAACAGATTCTAATAGTGTAGATAGAAATCCATGCTATTGCAAACAAAAATGTGCATTAGTGATAGAGGTTAAGATTTTCTAGACACGTAGAGGGATGATAAAAGTAACACACTGAGGTTCATTCTGTTTTGAATGTTTATTCTTTAGAAAAAAAGTAGACTTAGCACACTTAGCACATAGGACAATGAAAACACGAACCACACGCCTTCTGAATAGTTTCTATCCAAGAGCTCTGATTGCACTAAATAATGATCTCAGGGCCAGTTGCAAGGAATAGCAAGTAGGGAGTAGGAAGGAATGAGACAGGTTTTTAGGTTATGTTATGCTTTTAATAGGTTATGTTACATTCTGGAGTATGATATGTTTTTATAGATTATGTCTGAATAGGATGAGAGTGTTGGAGATACGTGCAAATGTGTATGTGAACCCGGTCTTCGAGTGGGTGTTTGATTTTCGTTGTTGTGTATACTGTGTATATACGGACAATGACAATAAAAATTTATCTCTATCTCACTTAGCATGGTACAGATCAAATAACAGACTAAGGAGAAAATACTGTTAATGTTAATGCTCCGACAAGAGGTATATTTGTCCTTCAGAATTTTTATTTGCTGTGGTATTATCAGCAGGCTTTTGTACATTTTCCTTGGGGGATCTTATTATTTCCTTAAGTCATAGCAAGGTCATCCATTACACAAACACACACACATATTGTCTCTCTCATACCAATTATGATACAACGGTCAGCCTGGGGAAATATAGCTTGCTAGTCTAAAGCAATGAAATGGAAGAGCCCAGTATCTCTTTAAAATGTTTATACCAGGATACAAATGAATGGGTCAGAGTAGGAGAATAGTCTGATACGTTTTGACTAAGCCCTTCGAGTATGGCTAATATGATAACTTGGGAAAGATGCAAGATAAAAATGAAAGAAGCTAGCAAAAGTGATCCATCCTGTGCATCTGTATTTTCCTATATTTAGCTCAGAAAGAAGGATTTCAAGGGATATAGAGAACAAGGCAAATAACTAGTTTAAAAATGGGTACTGAAAATGTCATAGAGCCTTTACTGAAGATTTTCAAAATACATTAATTTACATGGCATTAGGAAATGTGTGGTTTGTACATTTATTCCATGCACTAAGTGTAAAAACAATTGTAGATGTGCTGCTTTAACTTGTAAAAGCCAATCATTTAAACTGACCACTAAAGCAGATTGACTTGATGCAATAATTTTGGAATAATCATTCTTGAAAACAAATGGTATGGTTAAGAGAAGGCCATGATGGGAAAGCAAGTTCACTGAGTAGCTCAGGACAATCATTGGCTCCTTTTATGGTCTTGTGTATGTTGTTCCCTATATTTGGAATAACCTCCTGCAGCTGAAACAACCTTTCTCTGCCCTTACAAATCCTACTCAAACATCACTACTTTTGAAAAACCCTTCACTGGACCACTGTAGCATCAGATGGTTTGCAATTTCTCTTGCCAGTTCATCGTTGCCTGCTTTGATTCAGAATGGTGTCAGTGATTTGGAGTATAGAGCAAAGAGGAGGAACCTGTGCCTCTCCAACTCCCATCAGCCCAAGCCAGCATGGCAAGTGGTCAGGGAAGCCATCATCCACTTCATGTCCTTTTTTTCAGCCCTACCACTTCCACGGAGCTGTCACAATTACCTACTACTAGAAGTCATGTTAGCTTAAGTTTCTTTCAATGTATGTGTTCGGGCTGAAAAAGGAAGCTTGTCAATGAATGTCTGAAATATAAAACTTGCAAATCTATGAAAAGTAGAATTAAAATAATAAAATATTTAATATTTATTTGCTATGAACTGTAAAATATTCTGCATGAGTTTATATCGCTAGATTTTCTTATCTAGGTTTTTTTTTACCCTCTCTGCAGAAATGCTAGCTGCTAAATATGTATTTCAAGCGTAAACAATATGTTTGTGTTTCAACAGGATAAATCTTTAAAAAGACAGACCTTAGAATTTATAGCATTACTTTGCATTAAATTGCCACTCTATGAGATTAATATGCTACTTTAATTACAGAAAATGAAAAGTTCTTAAAATTCCACAGTAAGGACAGTTTCTTTAGTTTTTATGACCATCTTCATTGTGGCAGAAATGACATGGATTTAGTAAGTGCTTTTAGGAATCTCCATGTGGAAAATACTGCAGTTGCCATGACAGAATCAAACAATACAGTGCATTTTAATGACATCCTCTGCATAGAATGTAGTATCTCAGTAAAGCGTAAAACCATAAATGTCACATTTTCCCTTCACAAACAATTGGGAATCAATAAATCTTTACTGAAAATGAAACACAGCACCCTTAGTGGTGAAAGAAAAGTGCGGCATAATAACAATACAGCAGCATAAAACTATTATATGGCTAACATATTTCTGGCAGTGGGTATTTCCCACTGGGCTTTTAAAGTAATATCTCCCTCTCTGCCCCCCTCCTCCATTTTGTTTACAATGTTTTAGAACTGATGGCATGCATTAAGCATGTTTTAATCCCCCACTTTCTAACATAGACAGAAGCCACCAGATAAAATGTTAAGGCCTCTGTTTTGAATACATTGCCCATTTTGGGTAAGAGGTCATTCATAAAGCATTCCTGTTTGATAGGTATTTTTTTGTAGAAAACTGAGCTTATTTGGTGATGAGCTAGTACAGGAGTTGAGAACCTCAGGCCCAGGTCTGGATTCCTGGGCTACACAGCAGTGTGTGTGTGTGTGTAGTTTGATATAAAAGTAAAGTAATAAGGTCAGTGTTGTTACACTTAACTCCATACTAGTGCTGTTATACCTGCTGTACACATATTTTTGCTGCGTCAAGAACAAATAATTGCACCTTAGCATTTATAGTTATGTATTGATATATGCTTTTGTGAATATAAACTAGGTATTATCCAGGGCCCTGAAAACCAAGTCTGGCTATTAAAAAATTGTGTGAGAAGTCTACCCATACTATGTTGGTTATTTTATTTTTTATTTTTTGTAGCTATGGTTCCAGGGCAGGTTAAAAAAATATTGCCATTAAAATAAGTACAATCTACTTTAAAATTGGAAATTAAAATCTCAAAAGCAGGTATCAGAATAGCAAAACAAGCAGAGACCAGTCCACAGCAATGCCGGAGGAGAGAAGGCATATCCTCAACCAAAGGCCTGTTTAAAGAGATGCATCTTGAACAATCATCAAAAAGCATACAGTGATGACACAAGACACACGTCAGAAGAGTGCATTCCACAATCTGGAGGGCAATCACAAGAAAGCCCCTCTCACATGCCACCAACCCGTAAACTACAGATAGCTGGCAGCGCTACCAATCTTTTAATGACGGTTCCACACATTATACAACAGCAGACCTGTTATACAGTAGGAGCCATAGCCTATCCAACTGCTGGGAAATGGTTTGCAAACATTTTGTTTTAAGGGGAAATGTAAAGCATCTCATGTACTCACTAGAAATGTGAGAATCATCCAATAAGCGCGGCTGCAGTCGGCTATCAGGTTCAGACAGGCTATTGCGTACTGGGGGCAGCTGCCTGCTTGAGTCTTCCACACTCTATCCCTCATTTTATTAGATGCCCTATATGCTCCCAACCTGCTGCATTGTATTGATAAGCTTGGCTCGTATCACTTGTGAGTTCACCATTTGTTTAGCATCCAATTTGCAGAACCAGAATTACTGTGGATCCCCAACATCCTCTGGGCAATCTAAATGTTGAGATGAATTTATTTCAGTTAAAATGAAGTAGATGGTGTGCTGGATTCACAGCATTCATTCCCAGTTTTAGGATTCTCTTCTCTTTTTTAAAACCAAATGGAAACATTTTGGCTAACCTAGGCAGCCTTGCTCGTTTCACATCTAATTGAAAAGAAAACATCTGAAGGGCTGCTAGCTAAGAAAAGAAAAATGATAACACAGGAGATTCTGATCGCATAATTTTCTATTTTATATCTTGCTTAGCTCTCAAATAGGAATCAGTGGCTTCTGACCCCTCAGAATCACTATGCCATTCTGGTAT